ATATATATATATATAATATATGAAGTATAACGAGCTTAACAGGATTTTACCGAGCCATGACGTGGCAGCATTAGGTTTGTAATAATGTACGCTTAGGGAATAGCAATTCGCGTTAAGTTCGAACGCACGGTAGCAAAGCTAGCGCGCATAGTAATTACGGTCTCAACGCGACAAGAGGTTAAAGGATGAATCGAACATCAAGGCTGTAATAGCGCTATCTTTACTTCTCTCTCGTTCTCTTTTTCTTTTTTTAAACGCGATAGAAAATTATTATTTGTGTGACCTGTGCGATAAGTCAAGGAAAGACGGCATTGGCCTCTTGTGCAATATTTATATCTCATCTTTCTTTGTTTGATTTATTTTCGATCTACAACAAGGCATTAGTCACAAATGTTACTTTTTCTTATTTCTTGTAAATTACTAACACAGAGTTAGATATTAAAATTCGATTGTTTGAATTATTTTATTTTATTTAATTTTATTTTATTTTATTTTATGAGAATTTTGCAAAGAAACTAACGATTTTTAAATTATTAATTTTTGTATATTGTATTGAAAGATTGAGCTATAATCATTTATGATTTAATGAAATTGAAATATACGTGATATGTACTGTAACTTCTTCAAAAATGTTTATCTATATGTGTAATATTTTAATTCTTTTTTTTTTTTATATTAAAACAACACACATGCATTAACGCGATGTTTACAACTAAATAGGAAATTTATATAACTTTCTTAACTTTCACATATACAATAATGATGTATTATTATTAATAAGGGTTAATATTCTTTATTAGAAATTTTAAGATGGCCGACTATGATATTATATTAATAGAACGAGTATGCTTTGAAACTTTGGTCATTTATAAATATATGATGATATAAAGTTACTCGAGAGAAAGTTACAATTAGAATTTGTATTCTATCCAATTATACCGATCTATTAAATTTTTTTCTTTTCTTTTTATTTTGTTAGTTTATTTTTTCTACTTATTTATGAAAGATCGATAAAAATGATAGGGATACCTTTGTAAGTCGAAATGTTGGAAAATTGAAATTACTTATCTTCCATTATATATGAAGTTTCTGACGTTTATATAGGTTAATAATTTATATGAAAGAACGATGTAGAAGCTTAAGTTAACACTAGATGAATTTTCCAAGCAGGAAGTCATTAGTAGAATAACGTTTTACTTGATAATATAGCAATATTACAGATTTCGATATATCGAAATTAACAATTTTAATCTAGGAACGATTTATAGAAACATTTCTGGTAAACGTGTATTATACGATGAAAAAAAAATCTTTTTTCTACTTGATCGAGATATCGAAAATTATTAAATGATTTCTAAAATTTATTATTTTCTTATCAAAACTTCGAAAAGAAAAATTATTTTTCAGATTAGAACAAAATTTTCTAAGTTTTTATTTATATAATTAGATACAAATATAATGTAAGTATTCAAAATGAGTAATTAATTTTTCAAAATATCTAACAAAATTTTTATTCATTCTTGTATTTTACGACGATGATTACGAGTTTATTTTTTTATTTCGTTTTATTTATTTATTTCGTTTTATTTATTACACGGACATATTAAAAATGATTGAATGATTTCACCATTAAAATTTCTCTATCGTTTTGGTCATTTACACGTATTCACACTTTTTATTTCCTCTTTTCTTTTTTTTCTTTTTTTTTTTTAATTACAGGTATAACATCGCAAAGTTTAATTACGAATTAACGCGTTTCTTCGTACTTATTTTATTACATTTGAGTTACGTGACTCAACTCACGTTACGTTAATTAATCATTCAGTGTACGTTTATTGGGATTAGATTGCTTTGTCTCATTGCGGTCAAACTTTTTATTGTCATTCAAATATTGTCGACATTTGTGGCGAAGATTTCTTTTTATTTGATTTTTATTTTTCCTCTTATCATTTTACCATAAAGATAATTATGATGCGGGTTTAACCTAAACTAATCATTGATTCATAAATTCGTGAGTTATATAATCGGAGAAATACTCTGACACTAAAGAATTATTCAATAAAATGACACTGCGTACTGAAATTAAATTATTTAGAATTTATAAATATGCACCTATTGTTAGAAATAATTTTCCATATAAAAAACAAATCATTTTACCTAGTATATGTATCTCTAAGAAAGAAAATATAATATTTAAATAAGTAAAACATATAAAATCTAATTTATAAAAATAAATGAAGGAATATAATCTTGATAATAATAAGAAGAAAATAAAATGATTTTAAAATAATAATAATCTTTTAAATTTTTAAAAATCATGTTCAATTGTTAATCAATCAACATGGCTAATAAAAATTAAACTAAAAAGTTTAAATTGTATAGAAAATTAATTAAAAATATTATCTAGATATTTTTCCTATAAAGTACATTAGGTTTTATTTTCCATTAATAATCTTTATTCAATCTAATAACAACGCCGGAATTTCAAAACAGATGTTAAGATACACATTGATCAAATTTCATATTATAATAGTAATAACTTTAACAACGATTGTAGTAGTAAGTGGAAAAGACGATGATGGTAATTTCGTCGTTAAGCAATAGCCGATATAATGATCATCATTTTTCGAGGACATTGAGACAAAATGATACATAAGTAAATAAGTAAGTAAATAAGTAAATAAGTAAGTAATTGTACAATCGTCGGCTTTCTTCCATCGTCGAAATTTTCGCTGGGAAATCGGTCGATCGGATCGAATACAATTATTTAAAGAGGTAGATAGTGAAATAGAAAGAGATAGAAATAGAAATAAATCGACTTTTATTCGTTGCCGAGTGCACGCGAGTGCAACGAAAAGGGAAAACTTGTAAGAAAGAAAGGAAGAGAGAAAGAGAAAGAAATAAAGAAATAAAGAAATAAAGATAGATAGATAGA